GGATAGGGAGATAGAAACATCAATGAGAGAACATTGATCGGCAGTTAAGAGAGATACTGATTTTTTTCTCTTTACTTTTATTCTAAAGAAGTATGGGGAGAGAAATGGTAAATGATTTCCAATTTTATAGGCCGCGAAAGATAAGTACCGTGAACTGGCCATTGAAGGGATGCACAGAGACCTCGTGTTCCGATTCATTGAAGTTCAGACACTTCTCTTGGCTCCATTCTGCCCACATTTGTGTGAGCACATCTGGACACTCCTGGGAAAGGTATCTTTATGCATTTAAGATGTTGTGCCCAGTTTTGATTTTTGTCTCATTAAATAAATGTTGGGGTAATGTTGTTAGTTAAGAGAAAAACACTGAAAATGAATATTTTAAGAAGAATGCTACATTCATCATCATAATTACTACAACAGGTTAACTGAAGCTGCCTCCTGTTTAGACAACATCATGTGCGTGCCTTTGTTTATATGCACAGTGTATATATTTTATAAACATTGACTATATGCATGTGGCTTCTCACCTAATTCCTGTTAGGAAATGTTATAATACATTTAAATATATTCAGGTATATATTTAAATACATGTCTAACTAATATTGTCTTTCCAACTGTTTGTTAAAGAGGTGAAAATATTGAGAAAGATATAAATGTTATGAACTGCTTATAAACAAAGATAGGAGTGTATATTTGCATAAATATTCTTGCTTTATATAAAATTCCTGGCATATATATAGGGCTGCATATTCAGGGATATTATATTAGCATTTTTACTGTGAAGATAAATTCAATTATTTCTCCCTGGCTTGCAGATAAACAGATTGGCTGGTTTAATAACTCCTTTCCAACCTTATTAGCCAGGCTCTTTTGCATTTTTCACTGCACAAGCAATACAAAAATGTGCTTATGGTGTATATACCACATAGCCATACTTTCAGTACTGGATGTATTAATAGGATAAAAACTGAGAGTGTGCATGATTTATATAATAATGATTAAATTGAGGCAAATTAGCATTACATAATTTTCTTTGAAAGTGAACATATGTGTGTGGGTATTAACATGCTTGTACAAATGGATGCTAATTAAGAATGTAGAGTAAGACTTCACAGCTTGAGTTCGGGAACATTAGGTCAGGGGCTGTGGAAGTGTGCGGTGTGGAGTCAGGGTTTGAACTTGGAGCACACCATTGCAGATGGTAGCTTTGGTATGAAATCGCAATCAAGAATCATAAAATAGTCGTATTGTCTCATCTCCCTGAGCCTTTCTGTTTTTACTTAAAAGCCTGACTCCATTATGCGTGCATCGTGGCCTGTCGTGGGTCCTGTGGATGATGTCTTGATACGTTCCTCACAGTATCTCATGGAGGTCGCACATGACCTTAGGCTGCGACTGAAGAATTACATGATGCCAGCGAAAGGGAAGGTGACGTCTTTTTTTTTTTTTTTTTAAGGTCATTCCTGAAAAGTTACTGGTCAATTAATATTTAACAGTAATGAAAATTAAGGCAACTTTCATTAAAGTGTGTAGGGCTGTCTTCATTGCTAATGCAGTTCTGCATTATGTGTCTTTTTTAATGTTCAAGGCAGTAGTGGTATATCCTGGGGGAGGGTTCTTCATTGTGGGTTTATATGAAAGTGATTGCATGGTTTTTTT